GGTTTGGAAGAGGACTGGCAGCAGCTGCACTATGAGGATCGATCGATGGAGTCACATATTTCCGCTACAAATGGCCTGCCTCTCTTCAGAGTATCCACCGACCATTCGATATGTCTGGAAGTCTGTGACTCAGTCTCTGTATAATTACTGGACTCTTACCACTGGTATTTCGTGCGAGGTGGTCTGTGTAGCCCTGGAACAAGCTGCTGGTTATGGTTACAAGAGTTAATATTGTACGATACTTTGATGGGCAAGCTACAACCCCCACAACGTATCAAGGAAGAAGCTTTGTTGAATGCGGCCGGAATAATCATGATGCTGTAGCTTGGTTGTTTACGATAAGTGAGTCGTGGTCCCGTGGCATACTAAGAGAGGCGCTGAACGCTACAACTAGCGTAACATTTAAATTTTCCTGAGAGGAAAGGTAAAAGCCCGATGCTGAATTTCTTGTATCGAACCATACCGGTATACGTCTAGAGAAATTGGTAATTGGAGTCAAAGATACGTTTTCGAATGCAATTCGAGCAGTTCTTTCTAGTGTACTGGTGTTTTTGTTTATCCGGCAACAAAAACTGGGTTTGTAAATAGTATCTCGCATTGCATTAGTGCAATTTGTGATGTCAGTTGCGTGGGAATGTTACTGGTTCTAACTCCACAAGTCATTTAAAGAATCTCGCAAAAATGGTAGGACTTCTTCAACCAGTCACGCTGAAGTCCACTCGTCATCGATATTCTTCACTGCTACATTCTCCTCCTCTTCAATTGATCTGCATCACTAACATCCTAAAACAATCGCGAGTGCCCCACAAGTATTTTTCACCCTGTCACTGAAAAAGACATTTCGTCGCACATTATTAATCTATAGCGTTCCTGGAGTAACGACAAAAAATCGAGAAAACTTGGGGTATTACTCCGCAGTCTTCAAGTGAATTCCCTAGACACCCGCAGGATTTTTCAAAACGCGCATTTGACAGCGGGATATTGCGCGACTATTTGTCAGAAGCTAGCCCACACATGATGTTCGCATGGCAGACATGTCCCAAGCAAGCATGTGCAAAATGATCTTCCTGCCTTGCAGCACGACAACATCAGAACGCATTTTACCTCATCACGCACAGCTCAAGCCAGTAAAACAGAAGACAATGTTCTCGTACCCCAGATCTCCACGTGAAAGAGAATGCCCACCGCCTGCTCCAGTGTATTATGCTCCTGCCCCGCCCCCACCGCCCCCAGTTGTGTATGCCGCGCCTCCTCCGCCGGTCATGTACGAGGTTCCGACACCTCCACCTGTCGTGTACGAAGTTCCGGTACCCCCGCCAGTTGTCTACGAAGTTCCAGCACCCCCTCCGGTTGTGTACGAAGTTCCAACCACAGTCATTTACGAAGCACCACCTCGCGACGAGTACTACGAGTGCTCGCCACGTCGTCACCATCATCACCACCGTGGATGGTGATCAGGATCAATCGCATTGGTCGCATTAACCATCAATTTTTAAGCATTAGCCACTTTAGATTTAAGAAACAGTCTCCTTGCTGTGTTCTTACGATATCTAAGTGTTCCAGAATCTGGACCATCTGGAATCCAGAAGAGCCTTATCGTTAGCAAGGAATCTTCCCCTC